CAAACTCCTTTCCGACTCTCGTGGCGAAGACGTTGGTGTCTTCTTCAGAGTCGGTTAAGGCAGTCATCGTCGCGTCGTCTGTATCCAGGATGGCGGTGACCGCGTTGCAATGTTTCCTCTTAGCCTCCTTGGAAGGCTGTGCGGTCCACTGCTCGTCGTCGAGGAGGCCCGGATGGACCCACATCACTTGCCCTGATGGCAGAGTTTGTGGAACCAAACCCTTCTCCCGCTGGTTATGAGGATCGTCGTTAGTGATCTTCAAAACCGCCTTGGGGATAGGAATTATCCCCGCCAGAGCTTGAACCTCCGGGAGACCCGTCCCAAAGCTCAAAGTGACCATGTTCGCCGTCACCTGCTTTTGGACCTTCTCTTTCTTCAAGACCCCCGCGTCGTAGAGGGCCTGGAGTTTGTCCTTGAGGACGTAGCACTTGGTTGTGTGATGCCCAAGGAACCTATGATATGCACAGTAACTTGGGTCACCGGTTTTGTCCGCCTCCTCCGGTTTGGCGGCTTCTGGCAACTTAATTCGCCCACTCTTGAGTAGAGTGTCGAGAGTCGCCACTACCTGGTCTTCTTTGAAATCATATTGCCGCTGGGGGCGTGGTTCAAATTGCCTGGGTTTCGGCTTTTGAACGAACTTTGGCGCCGCGGCAGAGTCTACGGCCATAGCCTCTTTTCCCTTCGATCGAGGAGGGTTCTTTGGCGCCGCTGGTTCTGCTGCTCCCTTTTTGGACTGTGGCTCTTCGGCCTCCAGCCTCTTGATCATATTTTCAACTTGCTCGCCTTGGCGAACAAGTTCCTTCCAAGTCCGGGTTTCAACTGCCCCTATTTTGGACAGGATGTGGATCGACAGATTGTTGCGGCACATCTCGATCAGCATCGCCTCGGAAACTTGGTCTCGACAGTGGACTGATCGATTTCGAAATCTCTTTACGAAGTCGTTAACTGACTCCGACTTACGCTGCTTCTCAGCGAGGAGAGTGGCCATTGACACTTCCGTGTCGTCGTCGAAGAAGCGGGCGAGGAAGAGCTTTTCGACGTCGGCCCATGCCTTGATGGAGCCAGGCTCCAGTTTGCGGAACCACTCAAAGGCCACCCCCTTGAGGGTACCTATGAACAGTCGAGTGAGAATGGCGTCATTCCCGGTAAGGAATCCGGTTTGCGCCATAAAATAATAGATGTGCTGCGAGGGTGACCCCTTGCCATCAAACTGTACCAACGTACCACCCCCAGCTTGTTCATGTTTTGCTGAAGCTTCAGCGCGTTCAGTTGGTCCTGGAACTCGTCGAATCTTTTGTCACGGGTGCTATCCGCGGTGTGCGACGTTCCTATCGATGTTTTGGAGGAGTAATCGGATTGTCGATCATCCTCCGTCTCAGCCGCTGGACGGTGAGGTGGTACCCATTCTTTATCCCTAGTCTGCCGGGGCAAGGGACGTTGGGTTCCCTTCTTTTTCTTCTTGCTCAGCAGTTGCTCCATCATCTCTCTTAGAGAGTCGATGGTCGCCTGCTGTGCCTCCAACTTTTGAGCCATTGTCTGCTCGTGGTTGGTATCGGTCATGTGCGCCCTCGCCTGCGCGTCTTGACTTGAGCGCGAGGTCTGGGATGTGGCCGCCGCCGAATGAACCTCATCTTCGCCGCAGGAGGGAGGTATTAGGGTGGAATAGTCAAACCCAATACTTACCCCCCGGCGACTACGGGTTCGCTGGAATATGCCTTCCTGCCGGCGTCGGGCAGACCGGGTGTTAGGTCTTAAGACGGAGTCCGAGTCTGGCGAGTCGGAGAGTACCGCCTTCCCTTTATCCGTCATGTTGACTGTGGCGGATGAGAGTTCCAGGTCGTCAGCAGCGCGTCTTTTCTGGTGACGGCGCCTTCGACGGGAGGGCCTCGGTCGAGAGGCCTGTTGAGAAAGCCTCTCAAATACCGAAGGTTTCGCCGTTCCAACGCATTGGCAGTCGGCGAGGACCGTGTGGATGAGTCTCTCGCAATGACACTGAGGATTCGCCTCGTGAATAGTGCGTTTGCGAGTCAAGAATTCTCTGAGGTCTTCTACGGGTGGTTGGTGACAACCCCGGGCCTCAGAAGAGTCGCTCTGGTGAGCTGACGAGAGATTTTTGGGCGCTCTCTCTGGCGCGTGTTGGGTGGAACGCCTTGGTGTTGGAGTCAGGCGATCTCGCCTTGACTGGCGAGTCTTCGCGTTTGAGCGAATTCCAGTATGTGGGCGAGTTTCGACCCCGTGTTTAGAAGAGCGGGTTCGGGAGGAACCGCCTATTTCCTTTCCTTTACGTTTATCCGCCAAATGATTATGGCGAGGCTCGCCAGCCTTCGAGGATTCGCCTACTTGGGTAAGCTCGTATGCTCGGTGTGGTTTGTTCGCATCAGGGATATGACCTGAGAAGCGAAGTCCTCCTGAGCGGATGGCTCTGCTGTCCTCGGTTGACGCTCCTGATTTGGAGGGCCTTCTGAGGTCGGGCAGCTTGCCTTCCCGTCTAGTGTTTCTCGGGCCTGTGTGATGGTTCAGGCCATTATGAGAAATGGAGGTTTGGACCCCCTGTCTGACGGGTGTTTGCCGTCGCTGTTGGTTAGTTCTCCCAGCGGGGAGAACGTCACCGTGGGTTGTGGCATTGCGGTTTGTGCCGGAGTGAACCGGCGCTTCCTCCGAGGTAGGTGTCTGTGTGGACCGCTTGGCGATCCATCTGGCAGACCCTTGCCTCTTGCGCTCGATCTCTGGCTTGGCCTTGATCGATCGCGAGGGAGTGGGCTCCTCCGATGAGACTCGGTTGGAACCCTCGGGTGCGGAGGCTTTGACCGTCTGAGGTCGGCCTCGGCGCACAGCTCTGTGGCGTTTGCGGGACGCATTGCCACCCGAGGAGGAGGAGGACAAGTATTCTTCGTACTTGGCCTGGTCGAACTCGATTTCGAGGGACTCTACTGTCGTCCCGATAGTAACCTCATCAAACTGAGCCACCACCATTTCACTCGATGAAACAGCTGCTCCCACTGTGGTCGCCATCTTCTGTAGGGTGAAAATTTGATTCTTCCGAAGAAAGGAGTTTCGTTTGTATTTATAAGAAAGCTTATTACAAACTAACAAATCAAATGTTTACAACAGAAGCAGAGGGAAGGCCCTCTTTGTTTTGTGTGGGGACTTTAGGTGGCTATAGGACGCTTCGCTCGATGCTCGGGTCGAGTCTGCTTCCCTTGGACCGTTTGAATGAGGTTGCTGGAGAGCTTCAGTTCGCAGTAGAAGCTCGGGGCAATGGAGTTCGGGTCTGCTTAGTTCGTCGGCGATCGGAGCTCGGAACTAGGCAGCAGTGCTGTAATGCAAGGATTTGCTAACAGCTTGGTCTCAACTCTTTTTTCTCCAAGTTTTGCGACCTCTCTTCCATCGTGCTGGAAGGGGTTTTTAAATGAAAGAAGGACAGCTTGACTTCTCCTTGAATTGTGGGATGTGACCACATCCTCTTCAGAGACGTCTCGCCGTTCCTCGATACCATGAATGGTCATTCCAGGGATTGTGCTTTATGTCCTGTCACCTACGATGGGAAGGCCCATTCTTGTATGTGAGGCAACAAACGACTGCTATCCGAGTGGATTTGACCAGCATTAATGAACCGCATTTATGAGTTCGCAGATCGATGAAGTGTCTGTCCGATCACTTGTACTGTGCGTGACCGCCCGGCGTGCTTTGAGCACGACGCTTTCTCCTTTCCGGTCAGGAGAGGCGGTGAAGTAGGTGTACAGTACTCGAGTGGGTCTAGCCAGCTTGCCGAGTGCCGACGGATCCAGCTCTTGGTTCAGACAGCCGAGGTGAGTCGCATTTATGAATGCTCAGGTTGACTCGACGCCTGTCCAGTCCTTCGCGCTGTGTGCACTGTGGGCGGCCGTTTGACGGTCCTGGGGTACTGTGCTCTCTCTCCCTTCGGGTCGAGAGAGATGGGAAGGTCCATCTCAGCATGTGGGGTAGTGGATACCCAGCTGTACTGACGGTTTTGGGGCTTGCTGGCGGATTCGACTCCGAACTCGGGCAGGCGAGTTGAGCGAAGAGCGAATTTCCGCCATCCTGATCGACCCTAACTCGTGCTGGCGAGTATACCGTTAGGCGAACCTGGACTTGAGTACAGTCGACGTCTACGCGGTTTAGGTGCGTGCCAGAGAACTGGGCGTGCGAGCTCTTCTCGTAGGCAAATTTCCTGTAGACCCATAGAGGTATTTTTTACCGTCTACAAAGACTTATTTATATCGCGCTCTACTTGCCAAAGTAAGATCACAAGGTATGATAGCTCTTGCTACAGCGACATCAGGTGTAGCAGCTGTAATAATGCCTGGTGGAAGAACAGCACACTCAAGATTTAAAATCAAAATCCCAACAACAGATTCATCTATGTGCGGTATATCAAAGCAAGATGGAACATCAAAACTCCTTAGAATAGCTCGTCTAATAATTTGGGACGAGGCTGCTATGGCTAAACGCGTTGCAATTGAAACGTTGGATAGAACACTAAGAGATTTAATGGATAAAGATGAACCATTTGGCGGAAAAGTTATTGTATTTGGTGGTGATTTCAGACAAGTTTTACCAGTGGTGCCTCGCTCAACAAGATCACAAACTATCAAAGAAAGTTTAGTAAGCTCACATTTATGGAGAAAAATGATCAAACTACAACTTTCAAAAAATATGAGAGCAAAATCAGACACAGCATTCAGTGAATTTCTTCTTAGAATTGGGAATGGAGATGAACCAACAGTAACAGAGGATCTTATAAAACTGCCTACTGCAATGTTGATCAAGAATCAAGGTGATGAATTACCGGAAGATTCTCTCATAAATTCAATTTTTCCATCTTTAGCTGAAAATTTCACGTCCATTGACTATATGAAAGATAGAGCTATCCTTGCAACAAAAAATGAATATGTTGACATGTTAAATGATAGACTAATAAAAAGGTTTCCAGGAGAAGGAAAAGAATTCTATAGCTTTGATGAAGCAGTTGATGACACTAATCATCATTACCAAGAAGAATTTTTGAACACTCTGCTCCCTAATGGACTACCGCCACACAAGCTACTGTTGAAAAAATATTGTCCAATTATTTTACTAAGGAACTTGGATCCAACTAATGGACTATGCAATGGTACAAGAATGGTATGTCAAGATTTTAACTCCAATATAATTCAAGCTAAAATCACAATGGGACAACATGCTGGGAAAGAAGTTTTCTTGCCAAGAATACCATTAAAATCACAATGGGACAACATGCTGGGAAAGAAGTTTTCTTGCCAAGAATACCATTGTCACCAGCAGAAGATGAAGGATTACCATTCAAGTTCAAACGCAAACAATTTCCCATAAGATTATGTTTTGCAATGACAATTAATAAATCCCAAGGGCAAACAATACCTAACGTAGGTATTTATCTACCTGAACCAGTGTTCTCTCATGGACAATTATATGTTGCTTTATCGCGGGGTACTTCCATGATGACAACCAAGGTCTTAATAAGATCAGATGGAAAATGTGCAGAAGAGGGACAATACACAAAAAATGTTGTATACAAGGAAGTTCTCCATCCAAACGACCACAAGGAATAATTCATATGACCAATAACATTTTTGAAGGTTAGTAATTTATTATATAATAAGTAGATGCAATTTTTATTAAAGTTTTATTCTTAAAATTATTTAAAAAACTTACAATTCATTATTAGATCATTCAATCATTTCATTCAAATTAATGTACTAATTAAAATTAACATAACTTTAAACATTGTAAATAAAATTATTAATTAATAAATTCAAATTACTATAAATAGTTTCACATCTTTGATATAGAAATAGTCTCATTTAATTTTCTTTTGAGTTTATTTAGTACTTCAAATGCTTTGTTATTTACATATAACAAACTATTCAAAATCTTGCAGGAACGATGGCATCCACTAACGAAGCAACAATTCCACACATCCACATACGCCAACTAAAAAAATTTCAAAGAGATTGGACTATTCTTGTTGTTATCCTAAGAACTATCGAGTCATCTTATGAGAACAACAAAGGATCAGGAAAACTACTCAAATTAATTTTTGCAGACTCAGAGGTAATGTAGCAAAATTCTACATGCTATAATTCTATTGATATTTGTTGATACTTATTCTTAAATAAAGTAATACATACAATTTTCAAGTACAATATGCATAACTTTTTATCATGCTATAGCAATCGTTATTTTAAATCTATGCAAAGCCTTCTCAAATTTTTATAAATTTATAATAATTATATTATAATTGTTGATGCTTATTCTTATATTAAATATTATCACCTTACTATGTTTATTAAATAGTTAAGCAACATGTAATTCATTTTTTACAAAGAGCTAATCCATAAAAACGATTAAATTTGTTACTTGACTTTATATAAATAAGGTTAGTTTTGTTGATGACTTAAAATGTAATTTTTTTCCCAAAATTAATGGATATATTTCAATCAAACCTAGGGAATTTTTATTTAAAAGTTTCCCACATAGATATGGTTATTGATATTTGTTGATATTTGTGAGATAATATTAGTAATATTTGCAGGGGAAAAAAATACAAGGTGTTATGTTTGGAGAAACTATTGAAATGTATAAGCACATGCTTCAGAAGAATAATGTTCTTTACATCTCAAATGGAGAGGTCAAACCAATAAACCCGCTTTATGGAAATGTACATGAGTCAATTGAGTTGACATTGACTAAAAACATTTCTATCAAAGAGTCAAAAGCAGAATTTCAATTTGATAAGGTATTGAATAACTTTATCTCAATCAAAGACGCAATTTCCAACGAGGATACAAGGAATATAAGTAAGTATTTGTAAACATCTTTAATTTTTAATTTATAAATTTATAAAATAATTTTTAACTTATTATAAATTAATGTGCAGATGTTCTTGCAATGATAGCAAATGTCAAGCCTATGATCAAGTACGTTACAAGATATAATAAGGCAGACACAAGGCGGGACATCATTATAGTAGACAAAGAGTATACACACATGCTTTAATTTCACAATAAATTATTTATTCAAAATTTAACATATTAACCTAAAATTGTCTAACTTCTCTTATACAGTGACATAACAGTGTCTGTAACTTTATTCGGAGATTTAGCGGTCAATGAAGGCTCAATGATTGAAGGAAATATGCATGAGACAACTATAATAGCGCTATCAGATTTCAAAATATCATTGTACAAAGGTATCATTTTTTAAATTGAATTGTAGATATAATTATCAAATAATATCAAATTCTAATTATAACTATTATATATGCAGGAGAGTTGTGCTTGACTTCACAAATTGCATCAACATTATTTATCAACCCCGATATACAACTTGCTAAGGACATGCGAGAATGGTAATTCAAATAAAAAAGGTAACTTAATAAATTAAAATTTAAATATTTTTCAAATTATATGCAGGGCTCTTTCAAAAGAAAAGATCAAGACTAATGGTGCTCCGTCAAGGCTATTTAAAAATGCAACGGAAATGAATATTGGTGACATTATGCAAGCTTCACAAGACTCATCAAAGGTATGATATTAAAATTCATACTATAAATTAGTCATGAATCAAGAGCTTAAGTTTTAAAAAAAATAAAATAAATGGATATTGTTTCATTGATGATTCAAATAAATTTAGAATTATTACTTTTGCATTAATTTTTATAAAATACATTGTTTACTATATTTTTTTATATTATTTTAAAATTTATAATTTATTTATCTAAATATATGTAAACTACAATTATAACTAACTAAATTTTTACAAATCTACAGGCTAAATATGGCAGCTTTATTGGAAAAATAAGTAATATCTTAAATAGACATGAGGCTTGGTACTACTCATGCACAGGCTGCAATAAAAAGGTTGACAAAAATATTTATGACAAATGTCAAAATTGTCAAAAGAACAATGAAGACAGTATACCAAGGTAAAGTACTATCAATTTCTCATGAAATAAAATTATAAAGATTAAATATATAAAAATCATCTTATGCACAATATAATACAAAATGTAGATATGTTGTCAAAATCATAGTGGAAGACGAAAAAGACAGTGCAAGAGTCACACTTTTTGACGCAGCAGAAACATTGATAGGATGCGATGCTCAAAAATTCTTGGATGATATAAAAGAGGTAAATTCTAACTTTATTACATTTTATACATATAAAACAATATATTTCATGTATAAGATATTAATTTTTTCCTCATTAAAACAGAAAAAAAATCAGAGTTCATTCTTTCAAAAGTTTGTTCTCAACATCGGAAAGACATACAAGTTCCTTGTAAAGTTGGATGAGAAGTCAAAGGATGAACGTGCACAAGTTGTAAAGTTGGATGAGAAGTCAAAGGATGAACGTGCACAAGGAAAGATAATAGCACAAGAAATCCAAAACCAAGAGGACATCACAATCAACATTGAAGATGATGATTCATTTCTGGAATTACCAAAAAAGAAGATCAAGGTGGAAAAGGATTGATCAAAGGCCAACAAAAAATAAACATTAATGTTTTTTATTTTTAATTACATTTACAAATTTGTTAAAGGATTTTACATGTGCTTTTCATAGGCTTTTTAACTTTATTAATTGATGAGTTAAATTTGTTAGGACAATTTATGATTTATACGCATATGCTCATATAGTTGTTTGATAAATATTGCATGCTTTGATTGTTATTGCAGTTATTAACTTAAATTTAACATTTAATTATATGAATCAAAATACATATTCATAGAATAGTTCACTTTATTAATTTAAATTTTCATGTCAACTATTTTTAACTTATCTATACTGCACAAAATATATTGTCGATGAGTCGTTTGCAAGAAAAATGATGACCAAGCACAGCTTCCTGAACCTGTTGAGAGGAAACAATAGCTTTCTTTAGAGAAGGTAGCTAATTTCACAAAATTGTTATTCTAATTTATTTCTTTAAGTAGTCAAAATTTATTTATATCTATTTTTTTACATGTCCAGGTTCTCAGTGTTTTTTAAAAGAATAATCAATGAAGATTGCCTACTACTAGATTTCATACCAAAAATTGATCGTCTGGATAGGATGATATTACAACTTTAATCATGGCAGGTAAATATCAAATTGAATTTCAAAAATTTGTATATCTAATCATATTTCTTCTTAAATAGATAAATGGTTAATTAATAAAATCAATATATCTGCAGTTATCTCATCTAACAAGTGTGCTGAGCAAATACAATTCATAGAATAGCGGCATTCTATACCTATGTCTTCAGAGCCTTCAGCAAAATACAGATATCAAGTCATTGATCAGAAACATCCTCCTTATGACAAACAATAAGTTAGCCTTCAATCAATGCAAGCAACTACACCTCCACTGTCATCAGCTCGTCCTCAAGGTAACTGATTTCTTTAAGGAGCAGCACTGTACAAATTATGAACTTTACAAAGGAAAGACTTAAGAAATAACCTCTCAAATTTATTGCTAAAGCTGGATCTCCGAATTAAGATACCCTAGGATAATGGAGATGTTTTTCAGATTTAACACCACCTTTTGTATGCCTATGATGTCAACATTTAGAAGCTTAAACATGCTTATTTCCTACTTTTTCAACTGTGACTAGGTCATTATAATTAAGAATGATGTTAAAAGTTAATCTTCAATAAAGTTGAACGGTGGCCGGAATGTCATTCTGTGCATGTGAAAAACCAGAGATTTCTATTTTTATGAACTGATATTTAAAACTGTCTCATATTCAAGCAAAAGTTAGGTTCTTGATTGCCCTTATATTGTATGTTTGCCTTGTGATGAAAGTTGAGTTCTTGATTGCCCTTATATTGTAGGTTTGCTTTGTGATTCTTTGGGCAATTTTTGTTGTTTTTTCAGATTGGATTGAGGAAGGGCTCACGTTCTTTTCAGGAGGCACATGATGCTGGATTTATTGAAGAGAGTGGAACCTTGGGTGATATCTGGGAAACTGTCTCAGGCAGGGACCTTGTGCTATTACTGATTTCAGATGCTGCACAGGTTAGTAGATAATAAATAATAAACGTGGTTAATTTTGAAGTTCATCTGTACCTTCTGCATGTAATGTTTTGAGTAAATTTACTTTCTTTGTTATATGTCAAGTCAGGAACTTAGATTAGTTTAACTCTTCTTGTAAGAAATAAACTTCTTCCAGACCTATGTTCAGCATATTCCTTCAAGATCGTAACATGTCGAGTAAGGAACTTAGTGATTAATAATTTCTTTTTAGTCATGTCTAAAGGCTATTGAGTTTTAGTGCTTTTCTCATTTTCCATCTCTAGGTCTTCAGTTCTTTATCCGTAAATCTGATTTACATTTTTCTTTAAGCTTTTAATATAGGGCCAATGATTTGTACAGTATTTCTTTCCTTTTTTTTTGACAGCTTTTCCTTTATGGCGTTTTCGTTACTCTGTCTGTTCCTTAATAGAATTGTGGATATTAGTAAATAAACAAATCTTTTTTTAAAACACTCTGTGTGTTCCTTGCTATAATTGTGGATATTAGTAAATAAACAAATCTTTTTGTACAACAGGGTAAACTGTAAACCTTACTTTTCATGCGGTTTGTATGTAGAAGATATTATGGTTGTACTAACCCCTCATATGCATTTACAACCCTCCCAAAAGGTAAAACCTTCTCCTACGGCTTGGATTTGAAAGTGAAATAGATGGTACTAACTCTTCTCTGTGGGTGCATAATCCTTCAAGACCAGAAACAGATGTTGTTGTCAACCCGAATTCTTTCTTTCATTGTCTTGGACTATTTCCATTACTCCCCAATGCACATATCCTCATCTACATCTTTTCATATGAGGGTCCAACGTGATATCACAGATACACAAATGTTCATCGTGTTGTTGTATGTTTTTCCTAAAATACAAATGAGTGCAATGGACAGGAGTATGTTAGAAGTTACATTCAACTTATGTCATAAACTTTTAGTGGATGATTAAGTTCATCGTCTTCGATGTTCCACTAGAAACTGCAAGAGAGGATTCAAATTTGTTGAAATTTGAGTAAGTTCATCTGACGTCAAGTCAATACTTTTCCTTTAAACAACACTTGCTAAATTTTGTTAACAATTAGAACTGTTTAACCTAATTAATTTCTTGCGGTCAGTTGCAATTTTAAGTTCATGTATTGTTTTATGTTTCATAAATGTATCATCAAACATTTGAAAACATTTTACATTTGAAAACATTTTACATCTAAAATGGTCAGTTGCTTTAGGTTCTCCCTTTACATTTGCCACTACCTTAGAGCAACAGTATAAGAGAGACATCTTCGGAGAGCGAGGTGAGCACAGTGGCATTCAATATTTATCTCTTATTTAACTATGCTGCATGTGCTGAGTACTTACTGCTCAGGTATTTTGCTTGGTGTTGTTCATGGAATTGTGGAGTTTTTATTCAGAAGATACACAAAGAATGGAATGACAGAGGAACTTGCTTACAAAAACAATGTTGAGTGCATTACTGGGATTATATCAAGGACCATTTAGACAAAGGTACAACTAATTTATAGTTTAAGTTTATCATATTACATGATCTGACTTATGAAAGTGACCTATCCATTAAGGGCATGCTTTCTGTGTACAATTAGTTCTCCGAGGAGGGGAATAAAAAATTTAATGCTGCATATAGTGCATCATACTATCCTTGCATGGATATATTGTACGAGTGCTATGAGGATGTTGCTTCTGGAAGTGAGAGTCATAGTGTTGTATTGGCTGGGCTACGATTCCACGTAATTTCTTAGATTTGATCTATAATTGTATCTCCCTGCGATCCATTGATCATGAGGTTATCTTTGATGTTCAGTCTATTAAAAGATAATAACCAAGTGAAGATTCTCAATTTGCTAGGAAGAATTACATTCCAGGTGGTTTTGTAAAATGCAAATTTGATGCCTTTAGAGATTAGTAAGTTTTAGAAATAGTTGACAGAGAAAACACCATTACATTAAAGATACCATCAATATCATTATAAATTATTCAAGTTGTATTCAACTTCTAGAGAGGTTAACTATTTTACATGCAAATTTTCATAAATAATAATATATGGCTAGGAGGAATTTACTGGAAGTTTCTGAAGGTGTATCCTGTGTCTCTATGCTGTTCTTTACCGTGAACGTTGATGCACGTATTACTCTTCTGATCACAAGGAAAGTAATAAGGAGTACATGTGCACTGTTCGTTGTTGAGCTGCTGTAAAAGAATTGCTAGCAGACGGTGTTACTCTCATAGATACTAACGGATGCAAGGAAAGTTTTGGTAATGGAATTGTGGCAATACCAGAAAACGTTACTAGGAATAATAGCAATAGTAGTTATGAAGATGGCTGGGTACAAGTCAATGCTCCTAATACCGTCATGCAAGATGGCAAGGAATATTCCGTGTCAAAGAGCTGTGATAATGTCACGGAAAATACAAAAATGCAGGAAGTGTGGCATATGCCTATTTGTCTGTTAAATCTTTGTATTTATTAGCTCTTTTTACTTTACTCAATGAAAAGTTAATGCTTGCAGATTCACTACGACGCAACAACTGAGATTTCAGACTCCAGTCCTTGTTATTATCTTACACTTCACCTACTCTCAATTCAAACAAAAGCCTGTGTTCATGTGGAGGAGATCTATGTATATGCTGATCCAGTTGAATCATCTGACTCTGATCAACCTGTTGCCGCAAGTGAGAACTTGGGAGGAAATTCTTCACAATGAGGCCAGCAAAAAAGGAAAAATTTTTACTTATGACATCTTGATTTTCTGCTTTATGAATTGAAAATGTTATGTATACAACTCTATCAACTGCGGGAACTACAACAAGATTCAAGGAACAAATTGATCGGCTATCTATAATAGTAGACTTTTGTATATTCAAATATGATTTTCTATCTAGAACAATGGATGTTTGTATATTCAAATACTAATTGTTTATGATTTAAAAGAACAAAATGGTTACAAGATTGGTGAAATACAGCAAATTAGCTAATTATGCACATTTATCAATTGATACATTTATCTTTTTAATGAGTTATAGCCAAAAATTATGTTTATAAGTGACCATACTTAAAATATTTCAATGCTGCTAGACAAATGTGCAAAGCAAGCTTCTTGAGACATATAACATGATTCAGTAATTCGAGCATTAAAATCATACTAAATATAATTTTATTGTTCATACCTTGTGAATTTAAAGCTTATGTTCATATCTTAGTTATATTGATTACATTTAATTCATAAATTTATGCAACATCTTGCTATAAATAATATTATATTTTAAATAAAAATTACAAATTTTACCACGTGCATTGCACGTGCAATACAACTAGTTTATTTAAAATAAGGGTAAATTTCCCAAAACTCCCTGAACTTTGAGCGGTGTTGCACCTAACGCCCATAAACTTTATTTATCTTACATAACCCTCCAGATCTTTGAGCTGTCTCACAGAACTCCCTTTAACTTTGAAGTTTTCTCACTAACCCACACTATATGTAATTTATAAATAACTAAAATTTTCTTGAGAAGAAAAAACCCAAAATTTAGGAAAAGGAGTATGTTGCCCGTAATTGATAGATGACGGAGTTAATTTTTTCTCTCAAAGATATTTTAGTTGTTTTAAAATTACATTTAGGGTGGCTAGGTGGGATAAGGTAAAGTTTGTGGGGTTTTGTGTGGCACCCTAAAGTTTGAGGGGTTATATGAGATAAATAAAGTTCAGAGAGGTTATGTGCAAGACCACCAAGCTTAGGGGGGTTATGTGAAATTAATCCTTAAAACAACTTAATAGATTTGTGGATCTCATTTCAAACAATTTAATAAATTTAGAAATATGGCAATTTTGTGTTTACTATAAAATTAACAAATATGTAGGGGGCTAAGATGACAAAACCCTTCTCCTTCTTCTTTTTTCCTGCTGCCTTTCTTGCGATTCGTTTTCTAAATTAATTTTGTGTAAAATATAGAAGCTAACAAAAATAATAAAATAAAACAAAATAAATGTTGGCTTCCTTTTACTAATTCATTTTAGCAAAATTTAGTTAAAAATTAATTGTTGTTTTCACCTTCTTTTACCAACTTTTAATTAGAACGTTTCCTATATTTGATTTCAACGTATCGTAACGGGATGATGTTGTAATTTCCGACTCTCTACAACAAAAGGAATTGACTTCAAAACTCTTAACCTGTTAAAACATTTCCTTTATTACTTTTTTATTATACGAAAAATTAACGTCAATATACAGTGAACGCGACGAAATAAATAAAGTCAATATGTAATAAATAAAATTAATCAAAAAGCCACGTTTACGGGCTCCTCTTAAAGTTTCAAATTAACTCCACAAATAGTCACATAACAAAATTAAGAACATAAAAGTAGCTCAAATAATATGTTCAAGTAAATATATCCATGCTCATCAGATAAATATATATTTTTTGGAATGTAGGTAGAAGAACAAAGTATACCAAATTTACATCAATCTAATAAAAAGAACAAATATTTTTCACAGAATATTAAGAGATTGACCCTTCCATTCTATGAGAATGATAATGATGCAACACTTTTCCTATGAGCATTTCCTACTCAAACCGAAAGCTTCACTGATAGAAAAGATCAAAAGACAAGGAACATGTCCAATTGACAACCAAAAATACAAAGGCAAAACAATATACAAAAGAAGCAAAAGATCCCTACCAACACTAAATTGATTCAGTTTTCTATACTGGTAACAAAATCACAATTAAACCGACGTCTCACATTATCAGAGCTCGAAACCGAGCTTGAAAGTTGCTGAAAATATACAAAGCCACAGTAAACCCATAATTTGGGAGACAACAAAGCATGGCGTATAATTATGAAATTTAACAACAAGGTAAAGCCGAGATTTTTAATATCTCGGGTACCAGAACATGCCCTTGATACCCTCTGGATCAGCTTCGAACCCCAAGTTCTTGTAGAAATCCACAACTGCGCATAATTAAAGAGGACACGGTTCAAGAACCTTAATATGAACAGAGTCATAAAACCGACAATTGAAATGCAGCAGCAATGATGCTAGTCTTTCATACGAGAGATTTAAATGCTTTTATAATAAAGTATATGGGCAGTAGAAAAAACTTTAGAACTAATTATATCAACTGTTAATATGTAGAGAATATTAAGAACCATGAACTTATTCCACATTAAGTTCGAAATTCTAAAATGACTGGACTATAAACAATGTCTCATTTTTCTAGTCAATATGCTCAAAAAAAATTTCCCCAGCAAATGAAGAAGAAAGAAAAAAAAGATGATAATGAATAAAATTACTGAGTTATTCCCTCCCTCCTCCCTCTCCCTTCCATATAAGTAGATAATCAACTTTTCATAACTGTTTGTTTTGGGAGTTTCAAAGGAAAAGATCAAAAGATCTCCAAGGCAGCTATCTCTTTCGACACGCATTTTTATCGTTTTTCACCCTTTATATGTATGGAAAAGGGAGATGAACCCAATTCAAATGTGTTAAATGTTAATGGAGTCAAAAGTATTACCAAGCATGAACAAAAAATAGGAGGACTGTGTTTCGCATTTATATACCTTTACTATCAGCAAATAATGTAATGTTGCCGATATCCCTTCGTAGCAATCTACGTATTAGTTGTTCAACAAGAGCTTTCCCTAGACCTTGACCCTGGAATGCATAAAAAACTTACATCAAGCATTGTCGTAATGTTCACAACTCTTTCTCCATAAAAATTCTACACCATGTACTCCTAATTATTTCACAATAAGGTTAATTGCGGATATATACACCCTGCAGTATGGTTGTTTTGAACTTACTACCCCTCTAGTCCTACTGTTGCAGATAGACCTTCTGGGTTAGTTTATTTGACCCTTTTAGCCTCAGAGAAAGATAAAATTGTTCTTTTTTTTTCCTCCTTTTTCTTTTTGTTTGGGTTAAAGAATAGACCCCCAAGGGTCAAAAGAGTTCAAAAAATTCACTCAGGGTCTACATAGAGAGTTTACCTGATACGAAGGATCAACGAGAACATCCCAGATGGTGGCGTTGAAGGCATGATCAGATGTAGCACGAGCCATGCCTATAAGTTGCTTTCGATCATTCCCTTCTGTCAAATAACTTCTCCAAGTACAATAAGATGTTCATCAATTAATTAATGATGAAGCTATGATAGGGGCATGTGATGTTAACTTATACAACAATCACAAATGATATGATTTATAAGGCATTGTAAGTACCTGCATCCGGAGATTTCAAGACTGAATGTATAGTGGCAACCATGTAGCTGTTTCTTAGCGATGCTGCTACTTTTGATAGTGGTCTCCGAGGCCATCCTACCTGTCAAAACATTTCGTAGTACTCATGATGACTATGAATGAATACTGCATCAGATATAAACGTTCCCATGAACATGCTACCATAATACCATTTACGGATATTTAAGAGTCTAATTATGAAATGAAAGAAAAAGGAGATTCTTTCATCTTCTTTTGCTATCGATATCATAATAGAAATTCTTTGTCATAATATTCTAAGCAGCAAGTCCAGATTCCATTAGACTGGAAACGTGTCCAGATATAAAATAATATCATATATTCCTACAAGGAAATAGGAAATTCATGTAAATTACAAAAAATAAGAACTCTAATTGTCAACTAACAGTTACTCTTTACAAAATGATAATATCCTAATGTTTGATTACGCGAATAAGAAATTCATTGGTATCACAAATATAATATGTTTGATTACGCGAATAACATTTACACATGTTACACATCATACTCTAACTTATGCATCTCTTCATGTTATCAATCACCACAGTTAATAATATGTCATAGATGATTAAATTAAAATTTACAAGTAGTAACCCATCACCTTATCACATAAAGCTTGAAGATCGTAGACATCAACATCACCAGCTGAAGAAAATATTATCTGCTCAACTGTTCCATCAGGCTGTGGATTTTCTAGGAGCACAGTATCTTCTGGCAAAGGTTCTTCCTCTTCTAATACTGTTGACGGTTCGATAACTTCTGATTTGTTGTTATTCTTCAAGATACTGCAACATTAAAAACAATGCTTTATGATAAGTTTCAAAAGATGGGAAACGTTTGAAAGCAGAAACATATGCACATTGTCATCAGCATCCGAAACCTTTTCAATCAAAAGATCCAGAGGACCTAGATAACATTAAATACCTAAAATGAATGTAATCATATTTAACTGTGTTCCTAAAGAGATACAAAATCCAAAACAAGTCATCATATTTGAGTGATGAAATATATGCATGCAAAACCATGTATAAGCAATATGGTTCAAACTGATTATAAAATAATGACGTTTTAGCAATTTATTTTCAAGACAGAAAATGTTAATGTACATTTTCAGTTACCCAGATCTGATGGAATCCCAGAAATTAGCCTTCAAGGGGAAACCCACCAATCTTCTTCTTGCTGCAAATAACAAGCACAAATAAGACAGTTGGTCACTGTGCGAGAACCATATACATTTTTTCTTATTTAGGTAGTGGAAACAACCAAAAGCAATAACTTACTAGAGATTTAAGAACCAGTTTCATTGTTTTAGCTTTATTTTTACACCCATTTGTCATCCAAACATCTAAAGTGAACCTCTTCTAATTGGGCTCAGAACAGCATCAGCTGAACTTGTCTTGATACTCATATTAAGCAAATTTCTTTTCTTATATTCATTCTATGTTGCACAACACGAATGTAAGATATAGACACAAACATGGATACATGAAATCAGGAAACCTACACTATGAGCATGATCAATAATGTTATATGAAAATTAATAAAAAAACGAAAGGTAAAATGTGACCTCAAGTTCTCCACAATACATCGTACTGATGCAATTTTATGTGAACTCTAAATCCAAATCATATAACCATGCAAACTAACCACCATTAGACCGAAAATCCAACTCTCTCCAAGCTAGTTCAAGACCTGAGACACGTCGAACTTGTCATATTTTGTCCACCAAGTACTTTGCGCGTGTCTAGATACATGTCAGACATGGATAGATGAGCCTCCAAAACTTTTCCATGGAGCATGGTATTCAATACATTATCAAATTAATTTAATGATGTGCCAGTGCAGCCAAACCCTTGTCATCTGGGCTTGGGACAAAATCACCAATAGTTATGTCATGGTACACATAAGAAGCAAAATCNNNAAAAAAGAAAAACCCCCCCCCCCCATATTCACCATCTTATCAAATTATTTGCTTTTATTTTCTAGTGTGAATCAATTAAATCAGATCAGAAATTAAAAATGTATACAGGTTAAAGAAAGAAAGCTTTACCATTTATGAAAGGACAAATTTTGAAAACCATCCTATTTACAAAAAATTCGCAAATTCCGACCTATTCTAAAATTTTTTGTCAAAACCGACCTAGTTTTAGCCGTCTGGCTAAAATTGGGTCGGTTTTGACAAAATATGTTCCGAAACTTCACGGGCCTTCAAGTCCCGTAAAGTTTTGTAATGTACAAAAACTTCACGAGATTTGAAGTCCCGTGAAGTTTCGGAAGATTTTTCTTCAAAACCGACCTAGTTTTAGCCTGACGGTTGAAACTGGGTCGGTTTTTAAAAATATTTTGTGAATGGGTCGATTTTTGCAATTATTTTCTCAAATAGGATGGTTTTCAAAATTTATCCTTTATGAAAATTATAATTTAACTAATTATAATTAGGGAACTAGATAGAAGAAATTTTGAAGAATGACATCTGTGCTTGTCTTGATACTCATACTAAGCAAATTTCTTTTCTATATTCATTCTTTGTTGCACAACACGAGTACAAGACACAGACACAAACACGGATACATAAAATCTTGAAACATACACCATGAGCATGATCGATAATGTTATATGAAAATATAAATAAAAAATAGAAAGGTAAAATGTGACCTCAAGTTTTCCACAATATATTGCACTAATGCAATTTTATGTGAACTCTAAATCCAAATCATATCACCATGCAAACTAACCACCATTAGTCCGAAAATCCAACTATCTCCATGCTAGTTCAAGACCTTAGACATGTCGAACTTGTCATGTTTTGTCCACCAAGTACTTTGCACGTATCCTAGATACATGTCAGACACGGATAGAGGAGCCTCCAAGTCCATGGAGCGTAGTATTCAATACATTATCAAATTAATTTAATGATTTTCCGGTGCAACCAAAACCTTGTCATCTGGGAATCACCAATGGTTATGTCATGGTACACATAGGAAGCAAATTTCTTTCCTTGTATTCATCATCTTATCAAATTATTTGCTTTTAAAATAAATCTTATTTTCTAGTATGAATGAACTACATCGGATCAGAAACTAAATATATACAAGTTAAAGGAAGAAAGCTTTACTATTTATGAAAATTACAATTAATGAATTATAATTAGGAAACTAGATAGAAGAAATATATGACGAATGGCATCACAAAAATCAACTATTTTGTATCCATGCTTGTCTTGATACTCAAACTAAGCAAATTTCTTTTCTTATATTCATTCTATGTTGCACAACACGAATACAAGATGTAGACACAAACACGGATACATAAAATCTTGAAACCTACACCATGAGCATGACCGATAATGTTATATGAAAATATAGAAAAATGGAGGGTAAAAATGTGACCGCAAGTTTTCCACAATACATTGTACTAATGCAATTTTATGTGAGCTCTAAATCCAAATCATATAGCTGTTGGCCTTCTTGTTTTGATGATGTTTAACAATCAATTTACTTCTAATGTTGTTTGTCTAGTGTTTGTGTTTTCGTATTTATTCTAGGCAAACAACGAGTTGGAGGATGGATGGAATAGAGCTTCAACGATCATATCCAAAGGAGGTTGGCGGAATGTCGGTGAAGCTTATGCAATTCAAGTTAAAGATCGAGTTCAAGCTTCATCCGCAAATATATCAAGTCAAGCCTATTGAAGATCAAGATCAAGCTTTGGTATATTTAGTTTAGGTTTTATATTATGTGTGTTAGATACTCTAAGCTCAATATCATATACACACACGTATTTGGTTTCTAAGCTCAAATATTGTATTCTCAGTTTATAGACTTAACAATCATCATATACATATTTTATCAAGTCTATATAATCATTGTGCAAAGTTTCAAAACATTGTTTATGTTAAAACATCAAACTTCATGTATATCACTTTTTTCATGTTTTGAACACTTTTGCAAAATAATGAGATTTCACAATTGGGAAATGCAAATTAGAAAATTCTTTTTGTAACATGTTCAAAATATCATTTGCAAACATTTCTCAAAGTTTTATTAAGTTTGGAATTGATTTGTTATGTTTAAAGGAATTTACAAATTCACGTTTTCGTTCGTGCATATGTTCGTGCATGTTTTACAAAACTGATGAGTTTTCACAAATGGGAAGTGATATTTAAAAAATTCTTTCTCTGACATGTTTACCTACATGTTTAGAAACTTACCTCAAAATTTTACTATTTTTGGAGTTTATTTACTGTGCCTAATTGATTTTACAAAATCGTGTATCACAGCAGATTTTCAGAAACTGTATTTTTGTGTTCAAACATTTATTTCTCTCAACTGGGAAAAGGTTTTTCAGAAATTCTTTCTCTGACATGTTATTCTACATGTCTAGAACATTCCCACAAAAGTTTATAATTTTTGGAGTTTATTTACTATTTTAAATTGATTTTACAAAATAGCTGCGCACTGCTACAATAACTCCGGTCGACCGGACCGGTCGACCGGAAATGTCTCTGGAACTCTTTCAGGTTTGTACAGTGCTAGCGGTCGACCGAAAAAATGGTCGGTCGACCGACCAGCGCCCAGAATGCCCATAACGGCTAGTTTTTTGTATCCGTTGGAGGGGTTTTTGGTCTTTTGGTTTGGGCTTTTGTTTGAGGTATTGGGAGGCTATAAATACCCCCTTATACCTCAGTTTCAAAATATCTAAGAGAATGTTTTAGAAAGAGTTTAACAAGGGTTTAAACTTGTTTAAGTGTTGTTTAAGTTTGTTTAAGAAGCTTTTAAGCATTTGAGTGTTTGGGTTTGTGAAATTAACTTCACAAGAGCTTGAGGAGTTCTTCTATTGGTGCTTTTTAATCGGATTAGATTAGCATAAGACTCTAATCACCCCCCCTCTAGGGTCTAACAATTGGTATCAGAGCTTGGTGCTCTTTGATTTAAGGACTAACCGCCTTGAGTTAAAGATCCAAGTTATTGTATTTGTGCTAATCTAGTTATGATTACATTTCTAACCACCTTGAGTTAAAGATCCAAGTTATCTTATTTGTGCTAATCTAGTTATGATTACTTTTGTCTTGCTTGCATATTTTCATATATATATCATGAATATAAATGTATTTCGTTTAGGCTATGAATCAAATGTTGCTCCTAAATTCATTAATTTTCCCTATGCTCAATGGGCTTCTAGATTTAAACTATTTATTGAATCTAGAAATATCGACTTATGGAAAATTATTGATTGTGCTTATATTGTGCCCACATTGGAGAAATCCAAGTGGAGCGATCATGATAAGAAAATGTTTTCAATGAACAAGCTTTTGTTAGAATTTTTGCTTAATGCTTTTGACTCATCCTTTTCTAACAAATTTGTTCATTTTGATAGTGCTTACAAACTTTGGAAATTTATTGAAGCACATCAAGGGGACTTGGAGGCAATCCAACAAGCTTTGGAGGATTCTTCTTCAAGTTCATATGGAGCATCATGCACACGGCCACAAGAAGATAACTCTTGTGTAGTAAGCGATTCCGATTCCGATAATGATTTATCTATTGATGAACTCGCTAGTGCATATGAGAAATTATCGCATGCCTACTCAAAATTACAAAATAATTTTATTGATCTTAAAAACAAGCATGTTAGTTTAAAATCCGATCATGAGAAGCTAGTTTCTAATTTTGATATTATTTCTAAAGAAAATGTTGCTCTTAAAGAAATTAATGATATGTTAAAATTGGAAAATGAAAAATTGACTTCATCTATATCTAGCTTAACTCATGCTAATAATGATGCCATGATAGAAGTAGAAACTATTAGAAATGAGTTTAATTCTTTTAGAAATGATAATGTTTCATCTACTTCTATTTCCTATACATGTATGCAAAATGTTGAGTTGAGTCAAGTTAAACATCGCATATCTTGTTTAGATTCAACCTTAAAAACATGTATGGTAAACCATGATAAGCTTATGAACATGTGTGCTAAGTCTCATGCTACTACACCTAAACATATCACACATCATGCACACATGTATAGCAAAATTTATAAGTGCTCTATTTGTGGTCGTAAAGGCCATTTATCTAAATTTTGCTATGATGCACAAAAATCTAAAAATAGTAATATCAATGCTTCTTGTGCATCTCATAAGGCTTCTTCATCACACACACATGTACATGCACACACTCATAAAGTTCATCACAAGCATGCTCATGTGTATAGATGTGATCATTATGGTAGATTTGGTCATTTGGCCTTTTGTTTTGATTTAAAAAAAGTTTCACATTTGCAAAACAATTTTAAAAGACCATCCATGTTTGTAAATGTTTCTAATGTTTCCCGTGCACAACCGTTTGGTCAACATAAGCAAATGCTTCCTTTCCATTGTGCTTATTGCAATCGGAAGGGTCATTTGAGTAATTTTTGTTATGATCGTGTTCGTGCACCATATGCGCCTAAGAGGGTTCATAACCCTAGGGCTTTGAGCTTTATTGATAGGGGTCATGTCCCTAAACAACCCGACACCAAGAATGCTTGGGTGCCAAAATAATTTTTAAACCAAGAATTTTAGTATTTTTATTTTTCTCTTTCTTGGTTTTAAAAAATGCATTTTAAACTTTTATGAAAACAATTCCTTTTATTGGCTAAATTTTTTTGTTTTCATGATCATTGGTTTTGCTTTAATGAGAGGTTTGCATTTATATAACCCTCCGGGTTTATTGGGTGTTTATTCCCAAATCATGTTTACCGGATGCTAGAATGATTATATGGGTTAGAACAAGCTTAAGAGCTTGATATATTGTTGCCTCTCTTGAAATTCTTTTGTTAAAGATTTTGTTTTGATTTGTTGCTTTGAATTCATTATATTTCACTTATATGATGATATTTATATGTTTGTGCTTATGGATCATCTATTCGTGCCTTATAATGTATTCCATATGTGGTTTGATCAAATCCCACAAAGGAGATTCTATTTTTGATCAAACATGGGTTTTGGACTCAAATCTTGATTTATGATTTCTTTTGGTTGATTTGTTTTCATTTGAAAACTTTTTGCATGACTCTCATGTTCCTCTTCTTTGAATTTCATAAATCTATTCTTATACATGGTGACACTTCTTTCACATTGATATATTCATATGTGTTCTCATTATCTTTTTCGTATGTGAGGAGTGCTTAGTATATTCATCTATGCTTGCTCACATATGTTTGCCATGATCTTCATTTCGTATATTCTATATGGCATTTTGATAGGGGGAGCAAATCCCTATATATTTTTTTTATATACTCACCTATGCTCATTGATAGGGGGAGCTTTCGCTCTCTTAATTCCTTTGTCCCCTTTTTGATGTTGTCAAAGGGGGAGAAATATTGTGAGTATACATTTATATGCATGTGTATTATCTTGTATACGTTCATTTCCTTCATGCACATATTCCTTTTTGTAAATTGTTTGTCATCATCAAAAAGGGGGAGATTGTTGGCCTTCTTGTTTTGATGATGTTTAACAAACAATTTACCACTAATGTTGTTTGTCTAGTATTTGTATTTTCTTATTTATTATAGACAAACAACGTGGTTGGAGGATGGATGGAATAGAGCTTCAACGATCATATCCAAAGGAGGTTGGCGGAATGTCGGTGAAGCCTTGCTATTCAAAGTTCAAGATCCAAGTTCAAGCTATATCAAGTCAAGCCTATTGAAGATCAAGATCAAGCTTTGGTATATTTAGTTTAGGTTTTATATTATGTGTGTTAGATACTCTAAGCTCAATATCATATACACACACGTATTTGGTTTCTAAGCTCAAATATTGTATTCTCAATATACATGCATGGTTTTGAGTTTTCATGCTTTGGACACACTTGCAAAATACATGAGTTTTCACAAATAAAAATTTCAATTTGAGAAATTCTTTTTCTAACATGTGTGTTTTCATGTTTACAAACATTTCGCAAAGTTTCATCAAGTTTACTTCATGTATATCACTTTTTTCATGTTTTGAACAGTTTTGCAAAATAATGAGATTTCACAATTGGAAAATGCAAATTGGAAAATTCTTTTTGTAACATGTTCAAAATATCATTTGCAAACATTTCTCAAAGTTTTATTAAGTTTGGAATTGATTTGTTATGTTTAAAGGAATTTACAAATTCACGTTTTCGTTCGTGCACATGTTCGTGCATGTTTTACAAAACTGATGAGTTTTCGCAAATGGGAAGTGATATTTGAAAAATTCTTTCTCTGACATGTTTATATACATGTTTAGAAACTTTCCACAAAATTTTACTATTTTTGGAGTTGATTTACTGTGCCTAATTGATTTTACAAAATCGTGTATCACAGCAGATTTTCAGAAACTGTATTTTTGTGTTCAAACATTTATTTCTCTCAACTGGGAAACGATTTTTCAGAAATTCTTTCTCTGACATGTTATTCTACATGTCTAGAACATTTCCACAAAATTTCATACTTTTTGGAGTTCATTTATTATTTTAAATTGATTTTACAAAACAGCTGCGCACTGCTACAGTAACTCCGGTCGACCGGAAATATCTCTGGAACTTTTTCAGGTTTGTACAGTGCGAGCGGTCGACCGAAAAAAAGGTCGATCGACCGCCCAGCTCCCAGAATGCCCATAACGGCTATTTTTTTGTATCCGTTGGAGGGGTTTTTGGTCTTTTGGTTTGGGCTTTTGTTTGAGGTATTGGGAGGCTGAGAGTTTTAATAACAAGTTTAAGAAAGTTTTAATCAAGGGTTTAAGTTTGTTTTTAGTGTTTGTTTAAAAAGCTTTTAAGCATTTACAAGAGTTTGATTTGTGGAGCAAATTTCACAAGAGCAAGTGAAGATCATCCTTGGTGTTTGAGCATTCATTATTCTCCCTCTCTCTTGTCATCTTTAGAGAAGTGTTTCTAAACTCATCTAGCAATTTATTATTTTGATTATAATTTCCATAAGCTAGATTTATATTGAGTTTAGTTTAATTGATTTTATTTATCTCTTTGTACACACACAACCATTGAGCTTATTGTATTTACATTCATAGTATAATTGGGTTGTGGGATTGTGTAACTTAAAGAGTGAGCTTATAATTTGTTCTTATTCATTGTAGAGAACAAACACTTTGTATTCAGCCTAATTGTGAGGATTCACTTGTAATACACTTGTACACCGAGAAAAGTGTGTGGTGAGAGACGGGGTCGAATCCAAGAGGAGTGGCGTCGGTTGACGTGCCTAGGGAGAGGTTGTAACCGAACACTTGAGGAGGAGGACACGGGCTAGGACCAACACTTAGTGTGTGAGGTGTGATTGTATAGTGAGTGTATTGTGAGGTGTAAACGTTGTTCGGGTGAACGTAGAAAACCCGGTTGTGATAGTGGAATTCTCCCCGGGAGTGGAGAGCGGAGACGTAGGACAGAAGGTCCGAACTCCGTGATCATATCGTGTGTTTGAGTTTGTCATTGGCGTTCTTTTACATTCATGCTTATTGTTTATATCGCCTTTGTCATTTGCTCTTAGTTCATATTATCCACTATCTTGTTTATCTTGTTTATGTTTTTATCACCTTTAGTTTCATATCCTTGTATATAACTCATAGTATATCTTATTACTAGGATATATCCCTTGTTCATATTGCTTATCCTAGCTCACATATATTATTGTATTTCATACTTGCTAGGATAACTTGTTAATTAATTTTAATTGGCATACAATCGGATTAGATTAGCATAAGACCCTAATCACCCCCCTCTAGGGTCTAACAATAGCCATGCAAACTAACCACCATTAAGCCAAAAATCCAACTATCTCTAAGCTAGTTCAAGACCTTAGACATGTTGAACTTGTCGTATTTTGTCCACCAAGTACTTTGCGCGTGTCTAGATACATGTCAGACATGGATAGAGGAGCCTCCAAAGCTTGTCCATGGAGCATAGTATTCAATTTAATGACTTGCCAGTGCAGCCAAAACCTTGTCATCTTGGATTGCGACAAAATCACCAATGGTTATGTCATGGTACACATAGGAAGCAAATTTCTTTCCTTGTATTCATCATCTTATCAAATTATTTGCTTTAAAAAAATCTCATTATCTAGTGTGAATCAATTAAATCAGATCAGAAACTAAATGTATACAAGTTAAGGGAAGAAAGCTTTACCATTTATGAAAACTACAATTTAACTAATTATAATTACGAAACTAGATAGAAGAAATATTTGAAGAATGGTATCACAAAAATCAACTATTCTGATAAAGATTCATCAAGGACTTGAATGGTCCTCTTGACAGGAGTTCATACAGAATTTCACTTGGATAATCATATTACAAGTACTAAACAGTGAAGAACATTGGCTTCATCAGTTCAAAAGTTAAGTAAATAACTCCTGATGTTTCGAAACATCCATATACACAGAAGATTCAAGAGGGTAACAAACCTGGCTTTAGCCTTAAGTATACATTACAAGGAGGTAGAAATGGATCCGAGGTCTGGCAATAGCAAGAAAGGATATGAACTTGATGTCTGTGACAGAAAAAAGCAGAAGTATGAGTTCTACAAAAACAAAACTTACACTTAGATGTTATATGAGAGGCATATAAGATAAAACACATAGAAAAATCTCCAGGAGTTTCCTCGCAGCACTCAGCTTACGGTCGAAAAAAATGCAGTTTCTTAGGATCCTTCTTGTACAACTTAATTTTGTTAACACATTGTTGGTTTCATCTCCCACTCTTAAGATTTTGAGTGAAACTGTCTATCTGTCAATAACATGGTGACAACACTAGGAGCGAGAAGTATTGGGAGTACATAAATTGATGATCTGTTGTGCAACGAGACAGATAAGGTGAAGTTTCAAATCCAAAGAAACTGAGGCTTTATGTTAAGGAAAGCTGCATTAATATCCAGATGTCTGGTACATATCTCTTTGCTTTAGTTCTTAAATCGATTTGCCATGTATACACTCAGAATGAATTTTCCCCGATTTGTGCTGTTTGCAAATGATATAATGATACGAACCCAATTGATAAGACTAGACCCAGATAAAAAATAACTTCAAAGTAGAAACAAAGATAGAAGCTTCAGAGACAGAGGCCAAAAGGGTTTAGAATCACCAGAAATATAACTTGCGTTTTAATGGAATGTGGAATGCAACTTCCCAAATATTATGAAGAAAATGAGAGAATAGTGAACATATCCTTCCAACAAAATGATTAAAAGTGATCATTTTATTACTAAACATTGACCAGTTTCAACATGGTAGCGTGATTATAAGAATCAAAGAGGGGCAGCTGAAATAGAAACCACTTTTTGGAGTATTATCTCATTGTATACTGCCAATGAAATTGAAGCATACGTTTTGTAATTCTAAGTTCATCTTTTTATCTTATATTTCTACCTAAATTTTGAAGTCCTCACGAGCCAAAAAAACCCTAAAAAGATTCAATATTCCCCCAATTTCTATCATAATCTACACACGTAGCTACGAATGGTACAATTATTGAAACAACACAACAAAATTTATAAAAAATCTTGGAGACCCAGTAAGCTAAACTTCAATTAGGAGGTGAAAGAGGCCAAATTAACAAGCATTAGAACATAAGAATGAAGATTTTGAACAGAGATATCAAAAAATAAAAAAAATATTGTAAAATAAAACTCACACAGAAGAGGAGGCAGCCATGGCGAAAAAAGAAAGCTATTCCTCTGCCGACCATGCGCTCAAGCCAGTAGATAAGGCTGGAAATTATTGGGCCGTTTGTATAATTCTTAAAACTTTAGGCCCAATTCTTTTTCTTCTCCGCCCCCTTTTCATGTTTTTCTTATTTGTATTCTGCTATTTTTTTAACTAGTCGTGAACACCGTACAAAACATGTCATATTATTTTTTCTGCTACGAAAATCCCAAACATGGCATATTATTTTTTCTGCTACGAAAATCTCAATTTTTAAATGCTACAGTAATGTTTTTTATTTTTTATTGCTGCAGTGGTATGGTCGCCGGCTATTGCTACAACAATTGTTAATGTACCATTTACTGTAGCATGAATACCAAATCTTAGGTTCTTCTAGTTGTATGGAGGAGTAGATTTACGTATCTTCACTGTTAAAAAGGCTAAATTACCAAATTATTATTTTTTATTTTAAAATGCTCCAGCTAGATTAAGGGATCTTATTTCTACACTTTTTATTTTGTCGCTAAGACCTATTTTTCTTGTTGGCGACAAGAATTCTGATGTGAATAGTAATATTTATCGCATTTATATGAATTTCACTAATTACTATTTTACACTAAAGACTAAAGAGGATACAACACAATTATTAATTAAACAGGTTGAATTCGAAGTAATGCTTATAACCAAAGCATGTTTCTATTATAAACTCTAATGGCCAATTTGATACGGTTGTAATTGTAATCAGAGTGTTTCTATTTATTTTTTTCAAAAAATAGCCAATAATAGTGTTTGGTAAAATTTTTACTATGCTTATTAAAACTGCTTATGTTTTTAAGGAGGTATTTTTAGAAGCAATTTAAGGATGTTTTTAGAAACAGTTTCTGTTTTTTTAGTTTATACACAGTTTCTGTTTTTTTAGTTTATATACCATATATTTGTTGTATTTTTTAATAACTATCATTAAGCATAGTTTTACTAGCCATCTTAACTAAAATTTAAAGAGTTTTTCATATCTGATTACCTATTTTCAACCGCTTATATAAGCCACTTCTATGTAAAAGTAACTTATTATAGACCCTACATCTATTCCTTTATACAAATGGGAGAACCCAAGATTCACTATTTATGCTACAATATCATTTACTGTATCTATTAGGGAACGAGATGCTGTAGCATTTTTGATAAAAATACTATAGCGTACTGGAACAAGGCCTGGTTTTAAAAAGCACTGTAGCAGAACGGGATACCGTGACAATTCAAAAAACATTGCAGCAGAACGGATATTGTAGCACTTCAAAATTTTTTGTAACATTAAAAACATGAATTACTGAAAAGAAAAAATATGGGCTGCATTACACAATATTCACCCTAGTTAATTAGAATTAGGCTGGGTTGACGGGTCGGGTCAGGATTCGCACCGAACGCTTCCTCTCCTTAAAACCCCCAAATCGCTGTTTTCCCCAAAACCGGAAAAAAAACCCAAATCAAAAGCCCTTTTTTCCTCTCTCTCTCTCTCTCTCTCCCTATCTCGATCGAGCTCTCTAATGG